TTCAGGTAAGGTTCCACGAGGGTTTTTACGAGGATGGTTTGAGGTAAGGTTCCATGAGGGTTCCACAGGGTTCCACCAGGGTTCCACCACAGTTCGACCAGTTCCACCAGGTTCCACTTTTAGCAGGGTTTCAGGGTTTCACCAGCGTTCCACCACGTTCTGCAAGGGGTGACCAGGTTTCCACCAAGAAGGTTCCACCCGTGTTGGGGGTGGTCCGGGGTGGAGGGTTTCAGGGTTCCACGACACAGGGTTCCACAGATGTTTCGCAAGGTTGCGTCGTTTGCCCTGGAGCGGAGCAGTAAATTGAAGGCTCAAGATTGCTTTGCTCATGGGCGGAACACTAAGCAAAACCGAAATCAATGGTTTTCAGCACACTTTCACTGTCACTTGCTCACTTGCTCAGGCAACGCGGCCCGAAATGTTGGCTTTGTGGCAAATCAGATCACGTTCTCACGGTGCAGCAGAGTACATGCTTGGCCTTGGCATTGCTGAGTATTACTTGGTGGGCTTTGGGTTCCAAGAATTCCACGAGGCTGCAAGGGATATGGAAGGTTGCAAAAACGCTCCACGAGGTTTCCACCAGGTTCTGCAAAATCTACGGGGCAGCCCTGAGGACGGTTTGCGAGGTTCACCGGGCCCAGGTCGGGGCCCGATTGCGCCGCCGGGGCCCGATGGCACCGTCGGGCCCCGATCGGGCGCGATGGCACCGTCGGGCCCGGATCGGGCCCCGATTGCACCGTCGGGCCCCGATCGGGCCCCGATCAGGGCCTGAGCAACACCGACGGTGAGGTGGGTTCCGGGGCGTTCCGAGAGGATTCTGGGAGGGTGCTGTTGGGGTATCGCCTGAGCTTTTTTTTTCTCTTTTTTTTTTTCCCGGGGGGGGGGGGGGGGCGTTGATTATCTTTCTCTGACGTTACGCAAGTGCTGCAGCTGCCACGCAAAACTTGATGCGAAAAGCAGCGCGACCGTGCGCTTCCGCGGGCACTTAATAGCCCCAAGCGCTGCACCCGTCACGATATCTATACCTCACCTTGCCAAAGCGCTGCGCCTGCCACAAAACCTATACCTGCATGACCTTGTGAAAGTGCCGCGCCCGACAGAAATCTGCACCTGGCCTTGCAAAAGTGCTGTGCCTGGCACACAAACTTGGGCCCAGCGCCAAACCTGTTCCGAACCCGCCCCGCACCCGCACAAAAAAAGGTCGCGACGGAAGCTTCTTCGAAGCTTCCTTTAATGAAGATTGGCCAAGGCTTACAAAGGGTTGCACGGGTTGTAGACACGTTTATGAAGGTTCATCCAGGTGTATCACAAGCGTTCACTAAGAGTTACAGGGGCCTACCCAGATCTATGAAGGCTTATTTAGGTGTACAAAGGTTCATCTAGGCTTATTAATATGTACAAAGGGTTGTGGGGAGGCAGCAAGGCTCCTGAAGGTTCATAGTGGATTAGAAAGATTTACCGAGGTGTATGAAAGCGTGCAAAGGATAATAAGGAGCTCCAAACAGGCATGTAGAGGATGCATTGGTCTATAGTAAAGGCTTATATATATATATAGTTTCATGCAGGTGTACAAAGGGTGGCAGTCTAAACAAGCTTATGACAGTTTAGCTGGGGTGTACAAGTGCATTCAGGAGTATGATGGTTTAATAAGGGTCCGAAAAGGTTTGCAAAGGGTTGTTAGAGTGCTTTTCGTTGCGGTTTAAACAGGCTTGTAGTATATTGGATCCTCTGGACTGTGTAACCTAACTCTGAAACGTCGGCTTGTCTCAAAAATGGGGAGACCCACAAATTCCCTGTCTCAGCAGGGCCCACTGCATTCCCCATTAAACATCACCCCGCGGGGAAACTCAAATAAGGCCAGCTGAAAGGTGATGTTCAAAACCAACGCCGGTGGAAATATAGTGTCGAGGACGACATCCGGCACCAATTGGTAGTTGGTTCCCCCCCCTCCCCGTGGCCTTGTCGGGAACGGGCGAGGGCACGGGCGAACAGGATCCCATAGCGCTGGTGGAGCGGTCGGGAAGATCTAGACCCCTGACCATTGCGCGAGATACGTTTAACGAACCCAAACCAGCATTTTACCGTTCGGTCTTCCTTTTCACCACATTTGTTTAACTCTGCTAAAGTGGAGGTTTTAAGCTCCACTTTGAAGCGAAACCCTGTTTTCTGACCTCTACTGTACCTTTCGGATCCGAAAGGTTTATTGGCCCAAAGAGCAAGTTAGATGCATGGGTGCTTCCGCTTCTGGGTGCCTTTGAAAGGATGCCAAAAGGAAACTCAACGCTGCGCAAGCGATGCTCTATTGCTCTCCAACAAATCTTCTAAAACTTAGCAAGGTCTATGTAATAAAGGTAGTCGGACGGTTCTTAATGCCGGATTTTTAGAGAAAAAACACATTGCTCTAAGTATGTTGGTTGAGGCAACTGGCACAAATGGAAATCTTGATTTGTTGGTTTGAAAGGGAAATAGTTTGCACCCCAAGTCAAGCAGAAGCAAGTAAAGCAACTGCATACAAGATTCCGTGAATTGCCACCCCCGAACAGGGGAGAAGCGCTTTTATAATTCTACGGGCGTGTCTTTGCTTGAGGGACCCGTTAAGGGTTAGTTTGAGGGCAAACCACCATGGGGCGACCTTAGTCTGGGACATTCCCATATTGTTGCCTTGTAGCAAGGGCAATTTGCAGGTAGGGGGAGGTCCCGCGTTTGCACACATCAGGGTGGGGGTATGGCCATGCTTGTGGGCTACCCTCTGCAAAATATTTGAATTGCAAACCTAAGGGAAAGCTCACCATTTTGCAGATCCCCCAATTTCGACACATGCCGATTGTTCACCACAATAGCGAAGGGGTTCTTATATTTTCTCTGCTGTTGGTGGGGGGGGTGGTGGTTGGTTTCTTTGGTTGCCATTTGCTCATGAGCTTCCTTTTGTGTGGGCTGTTGCTTCTGTTGGGGACGTATAAGGACCCCTGCTAAACGCTCTCACACCGAAGGCCTAGACAATATACGCGCCAGATTCCTAGAGCTCCCCGAGCGCTCGAGAAGTGCGATTGGATCCCGTCACCGACGCTCAGAAACAACGGAGTTATGGCCACTCACTTTGGAAAGTGACAGGCGGGGGCGGTGTTTACTGTTGAGCGTGATGTATGGAAAAAATAACATCTGAGTCCTTTAAAAGGCAGTCCAAAGAAAACTTACTATATCAAAGGGGTCCCCCTATCAGAAACAACACCCCACCAAAAGGGCAGCTGATGATGAAATGGCAACCAAAAGGAGATGTTTCTTACTATCCCCCCGTCCAAAGCAGAGAAATACAAGAACCCCTGCGTACTGCTGGGCCAAAACGCCCCTTTCTGAACCCTGCGAAAGCAAGCCAAAAGAAAACTCTCCATATTAAAGGGGTCCGGTTCTTCGGAGTGGTTCCCCACGTTTCGCAAGCCATGCTCTACTGGTCTCCGACCAAATCTCAACAGAAAGCATTTCATTGAGGCAGCCGGAGGGAAATAGGTCTGCTGTTCTCAAACAACACCACCCTATGTTGATCAAAGCAACCGAGAAGTATCTTTCAGCTGGGTTAAAAGACAAGCGAGCAGAAAACACAGCATTCAACGCACTCAACTAAAACAAAGAAAAACTGCACGCTGGATTCCTCGAACTGATCTACCCAACCACCACCCACACTGTGAAAATCGCTGCCCCATGACTGCCTTATTCTTTTGTACCCAGCAAGGGAACTTGTACATGCCTTGCGGGTATGAGCAAGTCCTCTTCGATCAAGAAGAGAGGGGAGTCTGGCAAAGTAAGGGTGTGCTCGGTGAGTGGCACCCTGCTCACCCAGGAAACAAACAAACAAAAGAGAGGGCAGTGTCCCCAGCGCGTGTGTTTTCCATACAAAGCCACTGTTTTTCCAATTTGCCAAAATTACGAAAAAACCTTCGGAAAACACTTTCTGGGGACACAGGTGTCTCTAAACGGACTCTGTGGGAAGGAAGGCTTGGTGGATGGCTTGACGGCAATGTGTCTAATGTGATGTGGTCTTATGTGTGCATATGCAGCCTAAAAAGCCCCACTAAAACAAACTTCATCAAATACTATTGTATCATAATCTGTGAAATCAAGTGGTTCTACTTTAGCATCGCCATAACTGATGCCGAAGAATTCGTTAATTGTCATTGCTTCACTTTCAACGGCTTGTAATAGTTTATTAGTAGGACAAAAAACAATTCCTTTATGTCCCTTACCGACAATTTTTTGACATATACACCTCTTGCCTGTGCCCGGGCAAGCACCACGCACGAATCATCATAGGATTATTTGGCTCACTCACTTCTATTATTTTGTCAATGTCGTATTCATCTATAATATCAACAGTTTCACTTTCATAAAATGGTATTTCTACTATTTCATTTCTAGCAACCTCATATTTTATTGTAGGTAAATTAATTTATTCATCTTGTTTTGAAACCTTCCAGCCTCCTATGTCAATATGAAATTCTACTAGGTGCCTTGCCTTTTCTACATTGCAAGTATCAATTACAAAAGCATCGGTTTTAACACTATATGCATTAGCATTATTTAATTTTGATTTGAAAAAGTCTTGGTTCATTTGAAAATTTATGATGTTGTAAAAGTAGTTCCTAACATACCTATATCCATTTCTTAATTCTGCTTTATCCTTTAAATTCAATACAACATATGATGCCTTCATATTATCCTTCTTCATCATCTTCTTCACTTTCTATATGGGGTAAGCTATGATGTTTACCTTGGTCTTTAGTTTGGTAGTGGATTGCCCCACCAATACTTTGAAATACAATGCCTTGATGTCTGGTAGCACCTCCTTCTTCCAATAATCCAAATTGACATTCCCTATTATGTTCTAATTAGTTTATCTGTTATTTCATCATTCTCATCTAGATCAGTTGTCCAAAGTTCATAAATACTACTTTTGTAATCGCCTTTATGAGTACACGAAAGTTGTTTATAATACATAATCTTAAATTAATACTTGTTGTTCTGTTTGATGAACTCCTTTAGAAAATTGCCATACATTAAATTATGCTTTTTTGTTAGACATCAAGCGCTTATTGTCGGTCTTCAATAAATTATCCATCACAAATTGTTGAAAGGTGTTCTTATCCATTTGGCAAACACATCTTCAATCTAGATTCACTGTTGCTCATAGTTGGTTTTTCCGGTATTCGAATACATTTGTTTCAGGCGTGCGCAAGCAGATGAGACGAAGGAAAGCTGTCTGCGAGCCTGCGGGATAAAAGCAGCTAGAATGCGTGAGGGCGGTCCAACCTACAGAAACTCAAGGAAACCGAGAAAGACACAAACAACCAGGAGAAAAGCTACAAAAGCAAGAAAAACTCAAAAAACCTCGGGAAAAACCAAAAAAACAACAAAACAAAAAAACAAAGCCCCCAGGGAAATGTTCAAGTGCCAGGCTGGAAACCTTTTGCCAGGGGCTTTGGTTTTTTTGTTTTTCCCGAGGCTTTTTGAGTTTTGTAGCTAGTGGACAATAAGAAGGTTCTCTGCTCAAGTGACAGGGGTCACAATGCATCAATGTGTTGGCTGCTTGCGGTCTGCGCAGTGTCCCAGCCCTGAAACCATCATACAGCAGGAATGTGCAAAAACCCAGCGCTGGGGACACTGCTTTCTGAAACAAAAAGGACAACCTGCTATTTTGTGTGTCCTCCGATTATAACACATTCGTAAAGCCCCAGCCTGTCACTTTCCAAAGTGACCGCACGCTTCTTGGCGTTGGCTCCGTTGGTTCTGTGTGTCGGTGATATGGGTGTCGGTGACGGGGATGCCATTGCAATTTCCCGGTCGCGTTCGCGCTCTGGCAGCCTAGCGACCATTGCACGGCTCGGCTTTCGGCCAGGGTTTGGGGCGCGAAATTTAAAGTCACTTGCTCAGTAGATTGGCACAAAAAATCCAGACTTGTTGAATAATCTTCCCCGAAAAGCTTAAAGTCCGGGAATGCAGGGAGTAAGACCAAAGAAGGCCCCTGGCCAATGGTCCTAGCAAGGCTCCAAAATGTATTGGTTGGCCATGCCAAAACGGGCCGTGTTGTGGTTTCCAGCATAGGAATGGATTTCATCTGATGGTTGTCTATTCTGACCCAGTACTTCCTCGTAAGAAAAGAAGACACAGCATGGCTTGCAGTTGTTCATTTACCAACAAGGGGTTTATAGTCCATTACAACATGGGTTGGTGATCAGCCAGGGCATATGACCGATGAAGGCGGGGGGGTTTTTCAAGGTCCATGACTTGGAGACCGCAAAACCACAAAAAACCTGTAAGAGTCTGATTTACCATGTCAACCCCTATCATCGTACCAAGAAGTTGGCTTGTGGGCCTAAGCAGAGTTACCCGTTCTTCAGTACTTGCGTGGTCTTGGGGTTGGGGTTCAAATGGTATTCCTTGGTGTTCATCGCGTTTCTTAGTTTACCCGGTCCCTTCAAGTGGTCGTTCCCGATACAATCTAAGCGCTGTCATGCATCAATTTGTTATACATAACATGGCTGCACTGGATAGACTGCAGGCGTCAGGAAAACACACTGGCAAATGATTGGAATGAAAGCTGAAGCCAAAGAATCCATGCACGTGCAACCGTCTTTGGGACATCTATGACCTAAACGTTGAGAGTTGCACTGCGCCAGAGTTTGAAGATCGCTCGAGTTTGGCAGGAGATGAACAGCCATTCAACTTGGAGGGGGGGGCTGACTTTGCGGGCTGTCCTTCTGCCGATGTTTGGCCTATAGTTCTCCCTCATGGTTTACGCACTCTCCTTTTGGTGTGCCCACCAGGATACTGTTGTTTTGCCCCCCTTTCAATCCCAAAGGTCACACCAGGACCAGCAGTTTTCCCAAGCCAGGGCCCGTCTTGAGGTCTCCCACTCCGGCCTGCTAATTCTGCTCGGCCGGCCCTTGCTGGCCTTCCAGCCTCTCCGGACAGGAACAAAGAACGATTGCCGATATTTTAGACAAATGTCGAGGTTAAACATGAAACAGAGTCTGATTAAAGACGTGTTTGGTTGGTGTACCTCCGGAGTCAGAAGCGGCTCAGGGTTCCAAAGGGGTTTCCGGGGCTTGGGGATACTACGCGGGCTTGATTGATTTCTTCCCCTCGCCATTTCCGGCCATTTGGAGTCCCGTCCCTTCTCTCCAGTCCTAAGCACAAGCCAACCCAGGAACCGAATTCCCTTCTTTGGGAAGGCTTCACGGAAACCAATTGTGTTTTGGGTGTGAACACGGCTTCAAGATGAAACCATGTGCGGCCCGCAAGAAGTGAAGGCAGGTGGGTACGCGTTGCATAGGGTAGGAAACACTCACAAAAAAAAGAGCCTTTTGCGGTCGCCGCCGGTCCCTTTGAAGCAGCTGTCCTATAAAAACTCCAAGAGACATCTCGAAAGAAGAACGCGAAACCCATTTGGAGGGTCACGACTTGCACACAGTTGTGTCAAGCATGTGTCAATGTAGGCAGGATGAATCGCTATCGCAACCAGCCAGTGCATTCATCTGGGCAGTCAATTCAGGGTCGAAACTTGTATGCAGCTAGGAGCTCGTGCATAAAGAACATTTGCAACACATGGGTGTGGGTCGAAAAGGTGTACTCAAAATGGAACCCTGGTAAATGCAAGCATGGACTAAAACCTGCGGCCCCCTACAGGCCCAGGCGCATGCATTGTCCCCCCTACAGAAAGGTCTAGAGGGGGAAAGTGTTGGGCGTCCAGCACCAAAAACAAAGCAGGGGTGACCACACCACTCTCCCCAGTCCATGTTCACAACAACTTGTTGCGCCTAAAGGCCGAAGGGAGCAAGGTGTGGCGGGGTCCTTTAACAAACTAAAGACACCAACTTGCTATATACGCCGACCGGCGTTATGCAATAGGCGGCTTCGGGTCAAGAAAGGATCATAGTGACTGAATCATAGTGTCGTTGGGTTATTTTTCGAGGGGAGCAAAGGGAAATTACCCGTTTTAGGGAGTTGGACAGACTGACCAGCCATCAGGGTTGCTCTCGCTTGACCGAGTCGATAGCAAGGCAAGGGAATTGGCCCTTGAACAAGGAAAACAACAGAAGCCGATATTGTTTGGTCATGTTTAGAGACTCGCTCCACTTCCCGTTCCTAACTAGCGACATGATGGGTCCCACCCCCTTTGTCTTTCACTTTGGTCTGTTCTCATGGTTCATGGTGAACCACCTGTCACCCAAAGAGCTAGTCCGTGGGAGCAATCTGTCTTGAAGAGATTGCACCCCACACACTCAGGTCCATCTGTGCGAGCTGCGTGCCTGAACTGGCAGGGCCGCGTCGTATGTGCGTCTCGGCATCCGCTTCGGATGGAAACACGTCGGACATGAAGGAACCTGCCCGGCAGGTTATCAACAATCTTTCCCAGCTAATTTGGGCCCCAAAAGTGCTGTTTAAACCAGCCCGAAGAGGAAGCATAGGGAGCCCTGCTGTTCGGGGTTCTGCGAGGGTCGAAACAGCGCCACGTGCGTTGGGGATATCACCTGAGCTTTGTTTTAAGAGGTTCGGGGCGTATACATTGCTGTGGAGGCTACGCCGGGGGCTCGTGGAGGGGTTGGCTTCGCGAGGCTTCGTGGCAAGACTGTGGCTTTGCGGAGTGGCTTCGCCGGGCTTCGCGGACATTTGTCCCACAAGCATCTCTGATTTTTGGAATTGAACCAAGTTGAACCTGTGCGAGGCTCTGAGGCTTCATGCACAAACTGGCCATTGCTTTTAGAAAGCCGGGTCTGAAACGCACAGGTCGTCTTCCAGTAGTCTTCTCATAGTTTTCCTGCAGTCTTGCCATAGTCTTTCGGCAGTCTTTCTGTACTCTCCCTGTAAGTTTTTTTCCTCCAATCTTCCCGTAAGTTTTCCAACAGTCTTTGCCATAGTCTTCCGGTAGTCTCCACGCTTCCCCGAGTCTTGCATACTCTTCCTGTAGTTTTCCTGTAGTCTTCCAATAGTCTTCTTGCAGCCTCCCTGTACGTCTCAGGAAAAAAACACAAAGTGGCTTTGGGTGTGTCAATGTTACTGGGCTGCGCGGGGCTTCGCGGCACACGATTTATCACACAAGTGCCTTCGCGGACCTTTTGGGAGTTCCTTCCAAAAGAAGCGCTACTCACATGGTCAGCACTCCCGCCCAAGTGATCCCGTCCACTCGCGTTTTCATCATGGCATGACTGGCATGGTGTTCACGACCGACTTGTTCGCTGATGATTGCGTGGGTGCCTGGCAGCTGTTTTTCTGGTGGCTAGTCGGGCCCAAAAAATGAAGCATGTTGAGTCTCCAATAAAATGTGTTTCTGGATCGCTGAGGATGGTTGCGGCCAAAAACATTGGGATTTCCCATGCACAAACAGTGTGCAGCATTCAAGAAAGGTTTCAAACCATTCTACAAACAAAAAGCAAAATCGAGGTGCATGATTCCCCACGCCTGCCAGTGTTTGCAAATAAATGGTGGCACGAAAACGATCGTGCGCAGGAAGCCCGTTTTGCTTTTCGAAAATCCGTGACATAGCAAGGCAAACCACAAATTCCGTACAAAAATCACGAACCGGCAGGATGTTCTTGGATTAAAAACATGGGCTGCCTGAACAAAATGCCCACGGCGACAAGAGAATCGATGCCATGCAAGAAAGCAGTATCTGCCTCGAGGCCTCGCAAACTGCAATGAGAAATCTGTTGCTATGACAGGCGGGTATCCCATCGTTTCCCATTCGTTCAAATGAGAATCTTGATCACGTTTTGGGGCTTGAAACCAAATCCGACAGAAAACATCCACCGGGAGTCGCCATTGCCTCCGCACTCAAGTTTCGCTGCCACATGGATAATTGGTAACTCTAGAGCCAATGCATCTGCAACTATTACAACAATTCCAAGATCTGAAAATCCCACAGCGAAGGATATGTCGAACTCAGTTTACCGAGCGAGCTCGCTGTAAAGTGGGCAAAATGCGCCCCAACTCGGCTTCGGCCTGAGGAGGTGGGCAGCGCGTCCTGAAAAAAATCGCCGAACGAAGGCCCAACCTTTAACCGTTGACTCTACCGCTCCCAATAAAGCTCAGCAAACGAAGTGTGAACTCGCCCTGAAACCATGCTTATCAAATTATGAACTCAACTCTAAATATAGATACGGGCCTGCTGCCCTATGGGTTTCTGTGAATCCATGCAAATGAGTCGACCGATATTTCCACCGCAAGCATCCGCTCGCGCTGTCCTCATCGACATCATTGCTTGCAAAGGCCGACCCCTGGCACTGTCAAGCGAGAAAAACAACATTGGCGTGGCGGCTTAAAAGGGCCGGGTTTAAGAAACACTTCAACAAAGGAAAAATGCACTAAAGGGGATTTGACAATTTTCTGAAAGGCAAACGCAGGCTGAAACCCGTAACGTAGGCCAAAGCTAGCCCTCCAACGTCTAATTGAGTCACTAGGCGGTTGCCAAGGGCCCTTTCAGGGGGTCCCTGCTAAGCCCTGTTATTCCAGTCCCGGATGAACAACATGCAGTTCGCACCGGTTGGGATAAGCGGCCTAACCCTCACAAGATTTCATTTACCCCAACTGGTGCCAATCATTTGTGGATTTTGTAACCATAGGACACCACCCTGCAGAAATTGCAATTCACCGCTTCTCACGGCACCCCCGGCCTCCGGTTTCCCATTTCGGTTCGTGTGATTCAAGCAATCGGTCCCCCAATGATGCTTCGGGAAGCAAACTTGGAAGATCCCTTATTGGCTGCTTTTGTTGGGGGATGGCAGATGCTTAGCTGAAAATTATCGCCATTCTTTCAGGAATCCTTATATTGTCATAAAACTGGTAGCAACAATGAAAAAACATGAGCTGTTCGACATGTTGCGAACCCACTAGTATCTGCGTTGATGTCGCTTTAACTGTTCTCCTTGAGAATGGTTGAGTTGCTAGTAAACCCTGGATTAGCCCAGTGGACAACCCGCTGCGGTTGGTCATAACTTACAACTTATAACCATTTAGAATACCCGAAACCGTGTGCCGTGAGATTACGGACCTCCACAATCAACACCTGGTTCTGAGAACATACTTAGCAAACCTCTAAAAAGGAAGCAAATCCCTTCGTGGGGTCGACCGCTTGAATTCGCTCAGAAGTACTGGGTGTTGACCCATCCTCTGTTGGTGTGCTTTAGGGGAAGTCAAACATGTGAAATTCTGGGTTCCTTACGTTGACCCCTTGAACATTACCCCACCAAAACTTGTCCAAACAGGATGCTCAAAGCATCCCAAAGCGGAAGTACAGGGAACCCAACAATAACAAGAGCTACACTGTAAGCTCGCTTTACCCCCACGTCAGCTTGCGACACAAACGATTGACTTTCACATCGGCTTGCGTTGCCTTGGATGCTGTGGCCAGCTCCACATCCAGGTCCTTGGACTGCACCAAAGTCTGATGCTTGGGCGACTGATCCAATAGCTGGGGTTGGATTGGAGGTCAACGCTACGATTTGGATTGGTGGGTTTGGAGGTCTGCTTTGGGATGGTTTGGAGGTTTAGTGCGTTGCGAATAACAACCAAGGTTTTCGTTGGTGGTTCGGAGATTAAGCGAGTCAATCAAACCCTGGTACTCAAATTGTCAACCGAACAGAAACAAAAGACAGATTTCCACATGAATTTATGGCTGAGATTGCGCAACAGCCTGAGACTCGTCAGGCGCACATCCAGGTGCTGCAACATGTGGTTCAGAGGCCCCCTTTCATTGCGTAGATTCGCCTCAGCCTCTCGCTCTTTGAGCTACATCGGCCAAGAGCTGGCCATCGAATCTGTAGAAGGAAAGACACAGTGCCTGTTTCGTGCATCCTGGGTTGAGCATGTTGAGCCTGATTGCACCCTGCGGGGCCCCGCTGCATTCATGGAGCACAGGATGGTGGCCTTGAAGTTGGCGTAGCCAGCCGCTGGCTTCACGAGTGGACCGCTCGTCTACTTGGCAGCCTCTGGGATTCGTGCAGCTTGTCCTTGCATAGTGAAGACTAGAGCGGGCCAGCGAAGGCTTAGTCCAGTTGGGTCTGTTGCGCGCAAAGCGCTAAACCCGGTAAGCTGAAGCTGCAAGGGTTCGTGCAGTTTGTCTTTGCATGTGGAGAAACGAGCATTTAGTTCAGATTTGGCGCATCAGCTTCGAAACCTCAGCAGGCTTGAGCTTCAATAATGTCTTTGCATGACAGTGAAAGCGTGTTGGCCCATCAGTTGGGCACATTGCAAAGCGCTAAATCTCAACAAGCTTGAATTTAACATCAAGTGCACACTTTCGCCAATGCACAATTTACGCAACTCACTTTTTCGATCGGACCGTCGTGGTGAATTCTGCGCGTTCCACCCCTCACAAAACAAATCAAACAACACGAAAACTCGTGCTGCCATTGTGCATTGTTCCTCGGCGAAACGGCGATTTCCAAATTCGCGCCCAAGGCGGGCTGGGACCCCTTCGCGGTTCTTGTAGGAATGCCTAAGGAACCCTTCCAGGCACAAGGACCCCGAGTCCTTGGGCCTGTAACACTTCCGTACCTGAGGCAGCCACAAAAACTCCCCGAGTCATGTCCATGGCAAGCATGATGCTTGCTATTGTACTTACACAATTGTCATGTTCTCCCGACAACCCTGTGCCCCTCTAATCCTCCAAATAATGGCGTGAATAGGGACAATTAGGGGTGGGAAGCTTTCGTGTGGTGGCTTGGATCCTATGACACCAGAGCTATCCCTGGAGACTTGCCTGGGAAAAGGGAAGGATGAGCCCCGAAAGCCTAAAGGATTTAGCAGGTGATAGCCCCCCGCCCATAGGCCCCCGGGACAGGTTCATGATCGATCCCAGTGACGAATTCTGTGTGCGCAACATCTTGCGGGGGAATGGCTTTGGAAAGTCATTCTGCACTCGGATCCTTTTCCTCCCCTCTGCTTTGCAGGCCACGGCTCCCATGACTCGAAAGTAGCCTGTCCGGCTGGCCCCGCAACGCCTCAAGGTGACAGCTGCAAGTCGTTGAGTGTCAAGAGTGCGCGGGGGGGGGGTCCACCCTACAACCTCTTTTTTGACTCTAGTTTCTTGGTTTTGTGGTCCCGAAATCAGGGGGACACACATACGGGTCCTTGGCAAAATGAATCGATCGGCCTGCCAAAGGGTTGTTGTTTGCAGCCAAAAACTCACGAAGGTCAGGATCCTGTCTTTGGGAGCCGGCCTTTTCAGGCTGATCACTCAGGTTGGTCAACATGTTGAAACTCCTCTTGGACTCGTTTTCGGTGCCATTTTGTGACACCTTGAAGGGGAGTCCCAAAAAGGCGTCACTGCTTTGCCATTTCCCCATGGTAGACCATGTTTGGCTTCGGCCAAATTTCTGCGACTATGCGAAAATGAAGGGGAGTGTCAATGGAGGTACTGCATCAGCAATGTTTCACAACAAGGAAGCAAGCTGCAAATGAACGAATCAGGTTTGCCCTCAATCTGACCCCTTAAGCCACTTGCCTTCCCACCAACCAAGATGGAAGTGCACAGCCGCTTCGTTTCTACTCCGTACTGCAAATGCCATGTGTTGAAAGGCTGTACTTGGAAAAAACTGGATTTCATGGTAAATACCTCCTTTTTAATGGGAAATCCCTGAGAGGTTGACCATCCCTACCAACCCTAAGTAAAAGGTCTTTCACCATGGGCTCATGTGTTTCTCTCTCAAATCAACCCCTCCCTGATTGGTGGCATTGGAGAAGGTCAGTGATCAGGCTCATTTCGTGCAGCTCGCCACAACTAGTGCAAACAAACGGCTACATAAACATGAGCCTAAGCATGCCTAAGCAACTGAAAGGTATTTAGTATAAAGGTAGCGCTACAACAGCTTGAGGTGAGCCTGGTCAAAGGCTCATCATGTTATTGCGTGTGTCATGGACGTGGCTCCTCTACGAAAATTCCCTATTGCGGTTGTCAACACTTTCTATCAAAGGGGCCCATGACCATGGTACGTGGACATCAACACTGGATGGATCAACGAGGATATTTCCAAGCCAAATGCTTCACTGCCAGGGCACTCTTTCCTGAATTCCTCGTATAGCGGCGTCCGCCGAAGGCAGGCCGCTTCGACGCCATGAGTTTGACCCTCAAACCGGCTCTGCGGAAATCCAATTATGTTAGGATGCAAATCACTGTCACAATTCCTGTGTGGAGATTTCCCAAACTTGGGAAAATGGGTTGTTTCCGTTGGTTCCCTTTAGAATCTACTTTAGAGCCATCCATAAATAGACAAAAAAGAAGAAGAAAACAAAAAACGACCCCTATTTCGGGAAACATGTGGGCAACAGGTGACGACACCAATGAAATTGCGCCATGCGAAACCGCAAAACGCCGAAACCCGATGTGGCCAACTCCAAGAACTTGTGGTTACGATGGTCGGGGAAAAACAAAAACATTTCGTCAAATTCAGGAACTTAGGGAGCTGCAACTGGGGGATGTATGTTTCGTTGTACATATGTATATATATATACACTTGGGAAGAGGGGTTCATCTGGGACACAAAACCTCAAAAGTGTAAGTGGGCCATCGAGAAAAGACACACCCATCTGCCAAAACAGTTGGGAAGTGTTTTAGGGTGTTGTAGCTCACATCAGCGCCTGCAGCTTTTAACGCTATTTGAAGCGAATGTCCTGCAAATGAAAGGAAGGAACCTGTTCTTGCCATTCATTCTGAAAGGACACTCCTCTTATGCAAAATGTTGGGTTCCATCCTATTTTGCAGGGGAGCAATTCATCCTCCCGTGCGCGCTCCGGAGCATGCAGTTGTCAATCTATGACCAATCTATGGGCTTTGCCCAGCTGTGCAAGCTACCAGAATCTTCCCCGGCACACCACATCAGCAGCAATGCTGATGTGGACAAGCGAAACCATATGAATACTGGGATAAACCACCTCCATCCCCAGTAGTTGTGAACAACTCTCGTCAACAGAAGAACGCCAGGGCCCCGTCAACACTCACTCTGCATGTGACAGTTGACTGACTGGGCGAGCCATTCAGCATTGCCTTGCTGAGGCAAGGCTTGTATTCAACGCTTTGTTACGCGCCTACTGGGCTGTTCAAAACCAAAACATGCGGGAAGTCCAATCCGAGTTTTCACGGTACTCATGGAAACTCATTACGAAGGGAAATCATCCTTTCTTTTTGCAAGCGAAGGCTAATGGAGTGCCTTTCAACAGCCCAGCTTTTAAAACGCAATGCTCAATGCAAAAATGGGACCGGGTGTCTGGCAGCATTTTCCGTCACAGTCGCAAAATGGTGCGGTTGCTATCGTTTGCCCAGGTTGCTCAAACTGGGCAACGTAGAAACCGTAAGTACTTCACTTCCTGAATGGATGGGCAGAGAAAGTCCAAGCTTTTTGGCTACCACTACATAACATGGCTTTCCCAAAACACATTCAGCCCAGGAATTCAGGAAGGGAAGTCCGCCGACAATAGCCGATGGCCCTGCTCGGCCTGAGCAAGCGGTTTTCCAAGTCTCTTCTTGGTGTCGGCACTGCCCAAAGGACTGAAAAGGAAATGAAAGGGTCGCCTTTCCGGATGACTCATCAACATGGACCGTGGACCAAGCGAGCCCAGGTCAAAAGGTAACTTCAGTGAATGTCCTTTCAAGCACCACAGCCTAAATCATCTGAACATACTTCACAAACATCGTATACGTTTCTGGGGATATATCGTTACGAAAACGAATATTTTCTGTTGCCCGTTGCAGCAAGCAAGACAAACACAGCCTGGGTAAAAGCAATCCGACTGCAGGCAACTACGAATGAGTGAGCAATCTAAAGCTCCGTCCAAGTTGCAGTTGCGCTACTCCTTCGGAGAGTCGCTCTCGCGTTGCCGAAATTCCGTTGCGTCTAGCCTTACAAGGCAGGCGAGCAATCAGCGTTCAATCACTTCAATGTGCTGCGATGCACACACTACCTGATACGAACAGCGCAGTGAGTTCCAGCAGCAATGCTATGAGAGAACACACGAAAGTACTTGCTTCCCCAAAAGCACACGGGAAAATTGGGTGCTCGCATAGGTTTGTGGGTGCTTTGGGTGGTCCCCCCAATGTCTTCCCAATACTAAACAATATTGATTGGAACGATATTCTCAGTGACTATGGGGTATGTACTTTGAAGCCATTGGGCTACGCGCTGGCGGTACAGACAGCCCTTGACAGGCCCAGTGTCCATATTTGGGTATGTAATAGGAAAGGCGAACCCCAAACAATTGCAACTTAGGTATGTTGAAGTGTTTAAGGTTCTTGAGGTCTTTAGGCTGCTGTTGCCCCCATTGGGCTTCCCTTAAAATAACAGAACAGGACGCACTGAGCGTGCATTGTTTCGTGATAATATATTGTGTTTTCAGGAATACACAAATTTGTTTGCATTTCTATGGAAAGGTGAAAAACATCGAGAAAACCAAAAACAAAACAACACTATGTCAGCTGTCCTGACTTGGAGAGTGGGTGGAATCTGCGCACACTTTGCTTGCGTCGTGGGCATCGCTGTTGGCGTGTCCCTTGAGCCAGGAGCAAAGAGCTGCTGTCGTCGTTCTGTCATCTCGCCTGAACGGACGATTGTTTTCTTAGGGGAAATGTGTTTAGAAAGCAAACCTTGCTATTTTGAGAGACTTCCGGACCACCTGCTGGAGATTGACGTGACTCCTCGCACCAAAAAGCAGTTCCTGGATTACGTTTTGAAGATGCTGCAGCCAGTCTGATTGGCGGCTTCGAAAGCCCCGACCACAGGCGCTACAAGCCGCCGTCAGGCTGCAGCTGGAAGAGGGCCAAGCTCTTTTGGCAGAGCAAGCAGACGGAGCTCCTGGGCAATTTGTGCTTCCTCGTGGTTGCCCGTCATGCTGCAGCTGGAAGAGGAAGAGCGCGCAGACGGAGGTTGTGGAAGACGCCAGAGGTCAGGCTGCGGCTGGAAGAAGAAGAAGAAGAAGAAGATGGCTGAGAAACCAGACAACACTGCCAGCACCCTCGAGGCTATGCTGGTGCAACGCTTGTCTTTTTCAAAAGCAAATGATAGCATGTGCTCTGCGCGTCCTGCACTGTTCACCTTGCTCGAAGCCTGGAAGGCAGTGACAGACGACATGCTTTTGACTGGGCAGGGTTTGCGGGCTGAACCTGCCGCTTCCACTCCATACAAGCAACCAGCGCGTGCTACAGAATCAAGAATGCCGGCTAGCTGTCAATGTTTGCTTGCATGCCCAGCAGCTCCATGCATGAGCACTAGGTTGTTTGCAGATGCAAGGCAGCAAGTTTTCGACGCGCTACTCACATGCTTGGCCGTGCTGCTGCTTGGCTCTGACTTCGGCAGTGCCATGACGTGCTCCTTGTGAGGGTCTCACGCCCGCAACCTGAGACGATGTAAGCATCCTGGTCGCAAGCTACTACTCCAAGATGTGCGAGCCCGATTGCGAAAGTCCGAGAAGTTGATGAGCTTGCAGAAGGGGCGACGGCCGCCACGCCAGGGCAAGACCGCCTCCTTCGCGAAGGTGAAGAAGAATTCCAAGAAGAAGTACAGTGGGAAACAAGCGCTAAAGAGAGCCAAGCAGGCGGACCAAAGCAGGAGAAAGCAAGCAGAGCCGCAAAAGAAGTGTGCATCAGCTGCTCAAAGACGGAGTTCTCATGCCGCTGCCTGAGAAGTGCCCCTACCGCACAGGCAAAGTTGGGGCTTGCTGGTGCGCGGCAACGGCAATGTGGAGTTCCGATGCACAGAGCAAGCTTGCAGAAAGTCCCGCAATGTCATGAACTACGCTGCATGGCTGCCACGTGGTCCCGCTCCGCTGACTCCTTGTCAGCTTTTGCCAGTGGACTTTCACCGGGGTGAACACCTTGCCCTCAGCCTGCAACTTGGCTTGCGCACTGTCTTTTTTTCCCTTTTTTCTCTTCTGGCGGCTTTGAGCTTTGAGCCCCGCGTTGACAACCTAAGCTGCTTTTGGGCTGTCTTGTTTCCCCTTGCGCAAGGCCTGCCACAGGGTCGTGACAAGCTTCACGGATTTCATCGTGTCCGACATGCAGAAGAAGACCGACTCCACAGTGCTGCGTGGGCCGGTGGAGGGCGACACGACGACGGTGCGGATGGTCAGGGTGCACGAGAACACCACTCAGCTCAAAAGCTTGGTGGCGGACTGTCGGAAGAAGAACCCTGGTAAGCGCCCCAAGCACTACCTCTTGCACAGCAGAATGTTCGGACTCGTCTCCCGTGGAAGCTCGCAGACCATGGTCCTGAAGTCAGCCCCCTGGAAGTTGGCGTCAGCTTCCGCAAGGCCACTGGCAGAGAGCACTGGCGAGCTGCTCAAGACGAAGATCTGTGTCAAGCAGAAAGGTCAGTTTGCCGCGCCCGTGCTCGGCAGCGCAAGTGCTGGACCGCATGTGGGACCACATGAAGTCAGCTGTGCCTCGGTCCCGAATGTCCAGAAAGCTCGCCCTGAACCAGATGTCCCTCAAAATGCACCGTGCATGCTTCTTGTGGCAGTGGCGGCACGAGATGATGTTGTCAGGCAAAGACTTGAAAATTAAGCTTGGAAAGCTCTTTAGAAGTCACGCGAAGAATGTGGGATCTTGGAAGATCAGCCAGGACTAATAGTCCTTGTACACGTGCTTCGTTCATGCTTCTTATGGCAGGCAGAGGCAGTGGCTACATTTTGTCCGGTTGTCGTCAGGCAATCCTTGAAAGCTCAGTAGCTAGACTCTCCAAGAGTCATTGGATCCGCGGGAAAAAGACGCGGCTTAACCGCGGGCTGGGTCCGTGGGCGCCTTGAACAAACTTAAGTAGGACTCAGAAAGTTGCTGTAAGGCGCTTTATTGGGGTGGCCGTGAGGATTGCTCTTTCCCTTTTTTGGACTTTATTGCACAGCAAGGCTTGAACCAAACTTTCGTTTGGGATGTTGTCAGAAAAATAATGAATTCGCAACAACGAAACACTCGTTTTGGACATTTTCGCCGCCCCTTTCACACGGTTTGCTTGCTTCAATTCCGAACATGTTGCAGTAAAAAACTGTGTTTTTTTGCATGTTTGGTTTTTTGAGCGGAAATAAGCTGACAACAGCAATGCCGCTTGAGGCGCGCCGCAATCTTATTTTTGCTATGAGCTTTGTGGAAGTCCTGAGGGAGTCCTTTAAGCATGTTCCGCGACTTCTGAGCTGGCGGCAGCTTGTTCAAAAAGTCTCGGCGAGTGAACTCTGTGGCTTCGCCAGCGATCAGGTCACACCTGAAAAAAAATTGAGAAGGCAGGGTTTACCTATCGACCCTTTACTAGGCCTTATCAAGGCTGGTCCTCGGCTTTTTCCAGGCTAATCCAGAGATAGCCACCCCATAGCCCGCTTGGAAGCCCGTGATTAAACTGCGCTGAAATCTTGGCCCAAAACTGGCGTACACAGAAAACAATACAGACTCTGATTCATGTTTGGGTCTTCTTTTAGGGGACCCCCCCCCCCGCAAACCCAAAATGTGCTGAATCTTTTGATTCCGCCTTAAAAATCACCGGTTACCCTCTGAAAAACACACATCTAGAAATCATATTAGAGAAGACCCGCGACATGCATCTCTGGCGAGAACATCTCTCCCGAGCTCGGCACATGAGTTCCATTTTCTGAGTGCCACACACGTAGTCACAGACATCGATGCACAGCACCCTGCAGAAGTGCAGCAGGTTGTCCAAAGCTCAGACATGGCAACGATCATAGCTCAGTTTTGTATGACGCAAGGTGGCAGCACACATGTGAAAACTGAATCGAATCACAACGTTTGCTACACTTGTTGCTGGGTGTTGAGCAGGGGCGAGCTCCCAAAGTAGCTCCCCGGACCCTGAAAAATAGCTTTCCCCACCTTGGAATGGCCAGAACATCGACCAAAAGGGACAACTTTAGCAGGTGGCTTTTCACCATGTGCGCCAGTGCATCAGTTTCAAAAACAAAGGGAAACTTGTCTAGCAAGCCCATGAGCCGCCGGGGATTTGCGGGACAATCCCGTATCCCCCCCCCCCAAATAAAAGAGAGAAAAGCAAGAAAAAATGTGAAAGCCCTTGGCAAGGCAAACGCAGGGTAACGAGCTGGGTGCTGCATGGGGAAGCTACATCTGCATAGATAATCAACTGCTCCTACAAGTTTTCTTTGCGGTATGGGAGGCCTCCCACAAAAAAGAACCGGGATTCGGACAAGAACACCTGGCAAATCTCACCTTCAAGGTGTTCCCGGATCCCTCAAATGCGACAGACCCATGTGCTACGCAACGGCAGAGTCCGTTTTCCGATTGCGCACATTCACGTGGAGCAAGGAGATTTCCCAACAAGCAGGAGATTCCTCTATGGTGCTTGCTAGCTACATGTTGACTTGCTAGAGTGTGCCTGGGGCCCCAAAACACTGTTTTTTCTTGGTCAAAAGGCTTTGCCCGAAAAAAGTGGTCATACGGCCAAATACGGTTTCCTTCGCTTTCTTTTCAATATTTTATCGACAAAATACGGGTTTTATACGGCCAAATACGGGCAACTCTGGCAAATGACCGAAAAAAACAACCTTTCGGGTAAAAACATGCCAAATATGCCTTTTGACCGAAAAAAGTGGCGTTTCGGGGCTCCAGGTGTTATACGGGTCGACAGAACTAGAGAGGCTTGTAGGGTGCTAGTAAATAAACTAAAGTCTGGGTTGCTTTATGATCTTGAAACATGCGTGTGTTTAACTATCCAGTCCTTATATATGTAAATCCATATATATACCTGGCACCCCGTATGGCTGTTTTTTTTCGGTCAAACTCCCGTATTTGGCCGTATTTGCCCGTATGGCCATGTTTTTTCGGTCATTTGCGTAAATCACCCGTATGAAACCCATATTTTTTCGACATGTTGTTGAAAAAAAACCGTAAAACTCCGTATGGCCATTTTTTTCGGTCAAAGGCGTATGACCTAAAAAAAACGGCCATATGGGGTCCCAGGTATATATATATATATATGTACATATGTTACCTGAGTCACAATCAGTAAAAAATCAAAAGCAGAATCCCGAAACCCGAGTCCCGAATCCCGGACCCGAGGATATACCTGGGCCTTCCAACATGTGCAAAATTATTGATGTTTTTTGCAAAAACTATCTTTTTTGACACGACGGCGATTATTTTCGCCTGCCGTTTTCAGTGTTTGCACACTCTAGCATCAATCAAAATTGCAAAACAGCGTAATTTGCCGTCAAAACGGCGTAATTTGCCGGCGAAACGGTGTTTTTTTTTGCCTGGTCATGAGCTGGACTCACGGCGAGCGCTTTTTCTCCGAAAGAGCATTTTTTCAGCAACCAGCGAAAATTATTGGTGTTTTGAGAAACGGCGTTAATTTTACAGGTCGGAAGGTCCAGGGGCCATCCCAGTCCCGAATCCCGAATCCCGAACCTCGAATCCCGAATACCGAATCTCGAGTCTGAGGATGGGGCCATCCCAGTCCCAAATCCCGAACCCCGAATCCCGAATCCCGAATCCCGAAAATGTGATTCGAGTCCCGAATCCCGAAGCTGCGCGCCCCCCCCCCCGACCCCCCGGCCTATGTTTGGCGAACCCCGACATTTTTTGTCGTTCTTACTCCCTGGCACCCCGTGTGGCTGTTTTTTTCGGTCAAACTCCCGTATTTGGCCGTATTTGCCCGTATGGCCATGATTTTTCGGTCATTTGCGGAATTAAAAGCCGTAAAAGACTGTGTGGCCGTTTTTTCGGTCAAAGGCGTATGACCAAAAAAACAGCCATATGGGGGCCCCAGGTCAGTCTTGTTCTATGATGGGGGCGCTGCGCCACCCGCCTATGTTTGGCGAAGCCCGGCGATTTTCGTCGTTCTTGTTCAGTCGTGTTTTATCATGGGGGGGGGGCTGTGCCCCCCCCCCCCACCCCCCCGCCTATGATTGGCGAAGCCCGACGTTTTTGTGGCTCTTGTTCAGTAGTGTTCTGTTAATAGGGGGGCTGGGCCCCCCCAACCCCCGACCCCCCCGCCTATGTTTGGCGAAGCCCGACATTCTTCGTCGGTCTTGTTCAGTCGTGTTCTATCATGCCCGAATCCCGAATCCCGAAAATGTGATTCGAGGCCCGAATCCCTAATCCCGAATCCCGAAAATGCCCGAATCCCGAAAATGTGATTCGAGGCCCGAATCCCGAATCCCGAAAATGTGATTCAAGGCCTGAATCCCGAATCCCGAAATGTGATTCGAGCCCCGAATCCCGAGTCACGAATCTCGATTCTCGAAAATGTGATTCGAGGCATGAATCCCGAATCCCGAATCCCGAAAATGTGATTCGAGGCCCTCATCCCGAATCCTCATCCTGAATCCCGAAAATGGTATTCGAGGCCCGAATCCCAAATCCCGAATCCCGAATGCCGAAAATGTGATTCGAGGCCCGAATGCCGAATCCCGAATCCCGAAAATGTGATTTGAGGCCCGAATCCCGAATCCAGAAAATGTGATTTAATCCCAAAATGTGATTAAATCCCGAATCACGAAACTGGCAGCGAC